CGTGATATTTGGCGCCAACTGCTTTAAAGGCATCGGCAATTCCTTTTTTTTACGAACTGCTGGACGAAGCCCCCCCCTCCCCCCCACGACACGAAAATAAAAAAAAACTGGAGACTCCTCCAGATACCCGCAGCCCCAACTCGCTCCCTCCACCTGTCTCTATTTCAGCCCCATTCCATCTCCACTTCGATCGGGCCCTGTTTGTTTTTTCCCTCCCCCGAATACCGTTCCGTCAGGAGGGGGTGTCCTATATATTACTCCCCCCACCCAAGCCGCCCCTTCCCCACTCACCCCGCTCGCCACCTCCCCTCAGCTAACGAGTGCGATGTCTCGGATTCGTATTTGTTCTGTAATCCAAGAGGTTGCACCTCTGGGTCTGCTCGAGCGATTCCAAGAATGTGCGCTTCGGTTCGGTCGGTCGGTCGGTCTCGTCGTCGTCGTTGTTGTTGTTCTCAAGCTCGGGAGGTCGCGGTGTGGAGAAGGGGGGAGTCAAGGTGTCGACAAACGTGGCGGATCGGGAGGAGGGAACGGAGGCAAGTGGAGCTCTCTATAAACATCACTTTACTCGCTAATTTACTCGGGGAAAGCCACACCGAGCCACGAAGACTCTTCTCTTGTTTTCTTCTTCTCCTTCTCATGAGGCTCCTGCTACCTTGGGATGTTTGGCACAACACCAATTCCGTTGTGTGGGTTTATTTTGTATTTTTTTAGCAATGGAAGGAAACGGTGAACAAAAGAAACCCCCCCCCCAACCACCCACCAACAGAGGAAACCCACGCAGAACAGAGATGGAAAGGTACAAAACTCCACACACGGAAGGCTGCCCAAGGCCCTAGTTGCTGTGAGGCACAGGTGTTACAACCGCGCCACCCTGCCACACACGACTATTGCACGGGGTTTTTCGCGGTTGTACTGTGCCGGTACAGCTCCCACGATGCGTTTGCTTCTCGGGGGTTGTGCCGCGCGTCGTTTCGGCACGGCGTCCGACGTTTCGCTCTGGCGGAAATCTCCGGGAAATGAAGAAAAATCTTCCCCCCCCGGCACGTGGGAGCGAAACTTCGGACGTCGCGCGGAACCAACACCCGGCAGAATCCTGAGAACCTCCATCTCGGAGAGCTGGCTTTCAACATTGGTCGCGAAAGCCTACGTGTTAAACTGGCTATAAACATAACTCACAACGCCCCAGCTCAGCTGTGCCTACAACAGCATTCACGTGCTCCGCAGTGATGTCTGGGTCCCCTATTGTTCTGAAGCTCTGTGACTGACAGCGGTATTAAATAAAATGTGGTTCTATTGTAAATATCCCACCACCAGGCACGCGTGTAGATACACACACGTGTGTGAAGATACACACACGTGTGAAGATAAACACACGTGTGAAGATACACACACGTGTGAAGATACACACACGTGTGTGAAGATACACACACGTGTGTGAAGATACACACACGTGTGTGAAGATACACACACGTGTGTGAAGATACACACACACGTGTGAAGATACACACACGTGTGAAGATACACACACACGTGTGAAGATACACACACACGTGTGAAGATACACACACACGTGTGCACGCACTGCCGTTGTGTCAATCCACTGCTGAATGAGGACCTCCCCATGCCATGCAGCTCATGTGGGGTTAGTTGATCATACATGGCCATGCTGGTCAGTGCAGTTTGGTGAAGACCACGGCCTGTAGCGATAACGGTGAAAAGTCAATTGTCCATTGAATACAGTTAGGTTATTAAAACTGCGTGTTATCTTTTGCCTTTTAAGAATAACGATGACATGCTGGGGTACGGCAAGTTACAACGTTGGAAATAGAGCTATGGAGTAGTCACTTTTCTTATTTAATTACTCACCATTCGTAGGTTTAAGATTGTAAATGTTGTGGCCTTGCTCTCCAACACACCCGTGTGCTGTACTTGTAACGAATTGGCACGTTCTGTTTACGTGACAAACCTTACTACCTGGCTGAGTCGGATGGTGGCAGGTTTAACGACACTTTTATATATTTACGCGATCTAACCCAAAAAAAACCTGTATTATGGATGGTAGGTTTAACACGAACAGAAGTCGGCTTATCACTGACCAAGTGGGTTGTTGTCACTAACCAATTGAAAAAGACCTTCCACAGGGGTGCTGAATTTTGTCTCATAGCAGGGCACATGTGAGCATGTGCATGAGTAATATGGCCATCATCGCCCTCCCTTTGCTCTATCCACTGCTATGTTAATGCACCCCCAAACATTTCTCCATCTCTCGCTGTGTCTCACCATCCCATCTAGCTGCTGCACACGAGATATAATTTGTGGCCAGGTCGCTTCGAAGTCATAAGTTAATACTCCAGGTCGGCTCTACCTGGTAAGATGAAAAATAGTTTAGTTTTATTTGTATCTTTTTTAAAAAAACGATCCTCATCTTCCCCATGCTTTGCACTCCTATCGTGTTGTTGTACTGTTTGTTGTTGTAACGTTCTTACCCGCCACTACTGGACGTCTGTGAAAAAGAGCTTTATAGCTCATCGGATTCCTCCAGCACAAATACATATTCTGATTCTGATTAAATTTCACGGTTCCGTCTCTACGGTTATTCATCCTCTGCAGGAAGGGAGTAAACATACCCACTTGGAAAGGCACACTCTTCGGAGCTAAAACCTTTTTGGTTTTAATAAACACGTAAAATAAACAGCCCGATGCAATAGCCTGCGTAATTCCAATCAAAGCAATGCATTAGAAAATAATAAATAAGATTTAAAAAAACGTGATGACTTGTGAATAACACTATAAACATGTTTTGGGAACTGGATACAAAAATTATTCTACTTACCACTTTATATTTTGATAAAAATGATCAATAAAACACTGACAAACTCTTCATTGTACAATTTAGCCCGCGAAAAGGGGAGTCCAGGAATGACCCCTGAGATGGAGCTCACGTGGCAATCTGTGTTTATTCATTCACCAACTCATTATCAAAACTCTGCGTGTAACTAAACTTGCCGAGCTGCTAAAATTAACAACTACTCGTGAATTGTTGTTAGTATTGTTGTTGTTGTTTTTTAGTAGCTCAGGGAGTGTGATAATCATGCCCTTTGTATTTGAGGACGATGTTTTTGTTCTACAGCAGGGCATGGGAGTCTACCTAATCAAGTATGAAATTTCCGAAGCAAATAATCAGCATTGTACTACCATATTCACAATTATTTTGTTCAACTCAACGTTGGTAAAGGTGTTATTAATTATGCATGATTCTCTGTGTGAATGTGTCTGTCCATCTGTGTGGAAATCTTTGTCCATGCGTGTAGATGTGTCTGTCCGTGTGCCTGTATGTGTCTGTCCGTGTGCCTGTATGTGTCTGTCCGTGTGTGTGGATGTGTCTATCCGTGTGCCTGTATGTGTCTGTCCGTGTGCCTGTATGTGTCTGTCCGTGTGTGTGGATGTGTCTATCCATGTGCCTGTATGTGTCTGTCCGTGTGCCTGTATGTGTCTGTCCGTGTGCGTGTGGATGTGTCTGTCCGTGTGTGTGGATGTGTCTGTTCGTGTGTGTGGATGTATCTGTCTGTGTGTGTGGATGTATCTGTCTGTGTGCCTGTATGTGTCTGTCCGTGTGCCTGTATGTGTCTGTCCGTGTGTGGATGTGTCTGTCCGTGTGCGTGGATGTGTCTGTCTGTGTGCGTGGATGTGTCTGTCCGTGTGTGTATGTGTCTGTCCGTGTGTGTGGATGTGTCTGTCCGTGCGTGTGGATGTGTCTGTCCGTACGTGTGGATGTGTCTGTCCGTGTGTGTGGATGTGTCTGTCCGTGTGCGTGGATGTCCGTGTGTGTGGATGTGTCTGTCCGTGTGCGTGGATGTCCGTGTGTGTGGATGTGTCTGTCCGTGTGCGTGGATGTCCGTGTGTGTGGATGTGTCTGTCCGTGTGCGTGGATGTCCGTGTGTGTGGATGTGTCTGTCCGTGTGTGTGGATGTGTCTGTCCGTGTGTGTGGATGTGTCTGTCCGTGTGCGTGGATGTCCGTGTGTGTGGATGTGTCTGTCCGTACGTGTGGATGTGTCTGTCCGTGTGTGTGGATGTGTCTGTCCGTGTGCGTGGATGTCCGTGTGTGTGGATGTGTCTGTCCGTGTGCGTGGATGTCCGTGTGTGTGGATGTGTCTGTCCGTGTGTGTGGATGTGTCTGTCCGTGTGTGTGGATGTGTCTGTCCGTGTGCGTGGATGTCCGTGTGTGTGGATGTGTCTGTCCGTGTGTGTGGATGTGTCTGTCCGTGTGCGTGGATGTCCGTGTGTGTGGATGTGTCTGTCCGTGTGTGTGGATGTGTCTGTCCGTGTGCGTGGATGTCCGTGTGTGTGGATGTGTCTGTCCGTGTGTGTGGATGTGTCTGTCCGTGTGCGTGGATGTGTCTGTCCGTGTGCGTGGATGTCCGTGTGTGTGGATGTGTCTGTCCGTACGTGTGGATGTGTCTGTCCGTGTGTGTGGATGTGTCTGTCCGTGTGCGTGGATGTCCGTGTGTGTGGATGTGTCTGTCCGTGTGCGTGGATGTCCGTGTGTGTGGATGTGTCTGTCCGTGTGCGTGGATGTCCGTGTGTGTGGATGTGTCTGTCCGTGTGTGTGTCTGTCCGTGTGCGTGGATGTCCGTGTGTGTGGATGTGTCTGTCCGTGTGTGTGTCTGTCCGTGTGCGTGTCTGTCCGTGTGTGTGGATGTGTCTGTCCGTGTGTGTGGATGTGTCTGTCCGTGTGTGTGGATGTGTCTGTCCGTGTCTGTGGATGTGTCTGTCCGTGTGTGTGGATGTGTCTGTTCGTGTGCGTGGATGTCCGTGTGTGTGGATGTGTCTGTCTGTGTGTGTGGATGTGTCTGTCCGTGTGTGTGTCTGTCCGTGTGTGTGGATGTGTCTGTCCGTGTGTGTGGATGTGTCTGTCCGTGTGTGTGGATGTGTCTGTCCGTGTGTGTGTCTGTCCGTGTGTGTGGATGTGTCTGTCCGTGTGTGTGGATGTGTCTGTCCGTGTGTGTGGATGTGTCTGTCCGTGTCTGTCCGTGTGTGTGGATGTGTCTGTCCGTGTGTGTGGATGTGTCTTCCCAGTAAAGAGATGCAACAAACCTCGGCTGCGGTTTGCTCGCCACCGTACGGCGATGATGTTTTTTTGCGCACATGTTCCATTTTCAAAAGCGGGACTGTGCTCTTACCCTAAACATTACCCCAGAAAAGAAATAAACGACCTAAGGCCCAAACAAAAAAAATATATCAATTATATCAGTAAGAGTAGGAATAACAGTTGGCGTAGCTATCGAGTGTGCAGGCGGTGCAACTGCACCGGTGATCCCACGTCGCCAGAGGGGTCCAGGCGTGACGTGCTACGAAGAGTGTGGGGGGGGGGGGTGGGTGAATGAAACTGGACAGGTTGACCCCACTTCAATTCCTGGCACCAGGGTCCGTGATCGTAACAATAATAACACGTGACAATAATCCTCTTGATAAAATCAACTCCACGCATCACAACCCCCCGCGCCCCCCCCCCCCCCATTCTTCTATTGCTCAACTGCCCAACTCCATCCACCGCCATCCCATCTTCGGCAGCCCACCCCTCGGCCAACCCCATCAACAACAAACCACCCCCCGCACCAGCCCTCCAAAAAAGAAACCACCGCAGCTCGTCGACGTGGTTGGGTGGGAAACTGGCCTCCCAATAGCCGGGTGTTTTTGTTGTTGCTGTTTGTTGTTGTTGTTGTTGTTTAATCTCCTAGAAGGCCTTGATGTGACAGTAGGCCTCGAGGCCCGAGAAGAGGATGTACAGGAGCCAGAGCGAAAAGAACAAGCCGCTGGTGAGGATCTTCCCCGTGCGGCCACCTCCCAGCTCGCCGCCCACGCTCGGCCGGCGTCGGTAGAGGAGCACGGCAACGCAGACGAACGCGAAGACGGTGAAGAGGGTGACGGAGAAGGCGAGGGTGCCCGGATCCACCCGAAAGGGCTCGTTCTGCGTCCACCAGTAGATCGCGGCGATGGACCACGCGATGCCGATGCCCAGGAAGACGTTGACGCCGTTGCTGCCCGTCACGTTGCCGATGGAGGCGTCGGCGTACTGGTCCTGGGTGGCGCTCACTTTGCTGGCGAACGTGTCTGCTCGTTTGGGACGCCGAGGAAGGGGGGGACGTTGCGTTAGTTCGGCGCTCTGCTCGATCGAGCGCGGCGAGCGACCGACGCGGCGATTACATTTCTTTGTTTTAAAAATCGATGGCGGGGGGGGGGGGGCGGATTGGGGGGGGGGGGGGGTGCGGAGATGGATAAGAGAGGCGACGGATAAGAGAGGCGACGGATAAGAGAGGCGATGGAAAACGAGAAGGGACGGACGATGCCGTCGGCGGCGGCGTGAGTGTGGGGTCAGGTGACGCAAATCGGGTAGCGGTGTTGATAGAAGAGTGAAGGCACATTTGCGAAACAACGTCAAAGGGGGAGACGTAAATCGGGGCGTTATTATATTTCATTAGCAATCTGCTTAGCGTCTGGTTAGCAAAGCAGCCGATAAGCATAGCATGCAATTCGTTCAAAATGACACGAAGTCTCTACTAAAGCCCTCTCGTCGTGGCTAGCAGACATCGACCACTGGACATCTGTTGAAAAAGAGCCTTACAGCTCATCGGATTCCTCCAGGATAACTACTGATTCTTATTCGACGTTGGCATTTAGCTCCTGACCATGTTGCCATCATAAGCAAGAACAGAATAGTTTATATAGTTTCCGTAAAGAATAAGATAGTTGATACGGTTTCCAAAGAGGTTACGTAAAGGTAGTAGCAGTATCCTTGGACAGTCAACTCTGGGAAAGGAGCGTGCTGACGGCCGCCATAAGAAAAACAAAATACATTTCACCAAAGCCATTGTCGATATCAAACCAGGGATTAATGCTCGCTCAATATTTTCTGGCACCGTGGTGGCTAGAAGATGTTAACTCCCTCGCCTGGTATGGAGGAAGTCGTGGGTTCGATCCCAACCCTGAAGTCTGCTGTATATATGGAGTTTACAAGTCTCTCTCTCTCTCTCTATGTGGTCGCGTGGATTTTATTTTGGGCCCTCCTGTTTTTCCCTCCACATAATCAACTTCACGCGTTTAGAGTATTTGGCTGCTGTAAATTTCCACGTGATACGCCACTTTGTTGAGCTATCATCTGTGGCCAGGTCGCTTCTAAAAAAAAAGAGCTACGTAGTTCAGTGGGCTTTAGCTGGTCAAATTAAAGAAATGTCTAGTAATGGTTTATGGGGTCGCTTTCAGACTCGAGTCATTTGTAGCCGCAGTCATAGCGAGACGTATCCTAGATGTGGTGCATAAACTGAGTCCGACTCGCCAACTCGGCAGTAACCCAGCTGAAATGAAGGTCCCGGTTCGAGTAGGTGTCACTTTTACACTGTAAAGTAAGATGCACTCCAAACTTGTGCCCTGTTTCAATAAAGCAATACAAATCCGGTCACACACACACACTAACCTGATTTAAAAGACTCGCTTTCATATCAATATATTTAAAGGTGAATATTTTAATCCCAGAGAGTATGGTAGCAAGTTGTGGTTTTATAGGAATACACCGTTCAAGGTTTGCGATTCAATCCAAGAATCAATTATTGTTACTTTTATTATTTTAACTAAACGCGAGCCCATTACTGCTCGTAGCGCAGCTCACAAATCCGGGAATGGAAGATCACGGAGAACCGTCCCGACCGAGAATAAATAACAGGGACTGCTCTACTTACGAATATTCGATTTACGAACTTTTAGAGATACGAACAAACCTGGTCCGTATGTCCAGTCGCCTGTTCGGACCGAGAGTCGTAAGTTCAAGCACCGCGCAATCGATAGCGGTGGTGGCTTCTACATCTGCAGAACATGAAGAACCAGTGGCATCTACGTCTACAGATTGTACGACTTTTAAAGCCATTCCCCGTGTTTAGTGTACATGCCGTACAACACGCTTTGAATCGACAGGAGTAAAGTTGGACTTACGAACAGACCTCTGGAACCTAACTCGTTCGTAAGTAGAGGAGTCCCTGTATTACTACTACGTTAAAAAAAACAAAACACATTGTTACGCATCGCAGCGCCTCTGCCGCGGGGGCGGTGTTGGTGGAGAGGAGGTCAACAAGGACGGCCGGCCCGCGGTTCACCTGGCACGGACGTCCCCAGCGCGACGAAGACCACGGCGGTGACGGAGTCCTTGAGGCCGATGGTGCATCCGAAGTGCGAGGCGAGGTCGCCGATGAAGGCGGTTAGGAGGCCGATCATGAAGATGGAGACCAGGAAGCAGGCCCAGCCGTTGAAGTACTCCGTCGGCGGCACGAAGGCAAAGAGGACCTTCCAGAAGACGGACAGGAAGTGCATGACGTAGTCGAAGCAGGAGGGCAGCTTCTCCTCGCCGGACTCGTCGTCCTCGTCTTCGTCACCTTAGGGGCGGCACGCCAGGACGTCCCGAGGCAATGGGCGAGAGTTTTAATGCGTAAGTAGGCTTTTCGAGACCAATATTATCCGTAGAAGAGTTCATGTTGTTGTTGTTGCTGCTCGGGGTTAGAGCGCGTAAATATATGCACGTGTCGTTAAACCCGCCACCACCACCACCACCACCCCGACACGGCCAACCAGGAGGAGTCTTTCACAACTCTGGCTGTCGCCTGATGAAGCTGGTTGTAATAACCAGCGAAACTTCGTACTCGAATGGTAAATGCTGTGGGTTTACTCTCTAAACACAGCGGTGTGCTGAGGAAGTAACGCATTGGCACGTTCTGTTTACGTGACAAGCCTTACTAATTGGCTGTGTCGGGTGGTGGCGGGTTTAACGACACATTTATATTTTTCGCGATCTAACACAAAAACAAGCTTTATTATGGGTAATGGATACGAGTTAACACGTTTCATGAATTGAGCATAGTTATTGTTGCTAAGAGATTTGGGGGAAAGTGATGATGATGATAGGAGGGAATTCCAGAGTGGAACAGTGCGAGGGAAGAAGCAGAATGAGAAGTGAGGTGACCTGCAGTGTGGTGAGTGGGAGGGTGAGTCAGTGGGTGGGTGAGTGAGTGAGAGGTGAGTGAGTCTTGCTGCGACCTGCAGTGTGGTGAGTGGGAGTGTGAGTCAGTGGGTGGGTGAGTGAGTGAGAGGTGAGTGAGTCTTGCTGTGACCTGCAGTGTGGTGAGTGGGAGTAAGTGGGTGGGTGAGTGAGTGAGAGGTGAGTGAGTCTTGCTGTGACCTGCAGTGTGGTGAGTGGAAGTGTGAGTCAGTGGGTGGGTGAGTGTGTGAGAGGTGAGTTAGTCTTGCTGTGACCTGCAGTGTGGTGAGTGGGAGGGTGAGTCAGTGGGTGGGTGAGTGTGTGAGAGGTGAGTTAGTCTTGCTGTGACCTGCAGTGTGGTGAGTGGGAGTGTGAGTCAGTGGGTGTGTGAGTGAGTGAGAGGTGAGTGAGTCTTGCTGTGACCTGCAGTGTGGTGAGTGGGATTCAGAGGGTGGGTGAGTGTGTGAGAGGGAGAGGTGAGTGAGTCTTGCTGTGACCTGCAGTGTGGTGAGTGGGAGTGTGAGTCAGTGGGTGGGTGAGTGAGTGAGAGGTGAGTGAGTCTTGCTGTGACCTGTAGTGTGGTGAGTGGGGAGTGGGAGTCAGTGGGTGGGTGAGTGAGTGAGAGGTGAGTTAGTCTTGCTGTGACCTGCAGTGTGGTGAGTGAGAGGGTGAGTCAGTGGGTGGGTGAGTGAGAGGTGAGTGAGTCTTGCTGTGACCTGCAGTGTGGTGAGTGGGAGTGTGAGTCAGTGGGTGGGTGAGTGAGTGAGAGGTGAGTGAGTACTCTTTGGTTCTATTGGGTAAAGTCACGTAGGTAAAAAATAAAATAACAAAAATCACGACGTTTCGGCCACAACACAAGCAGCCTTCATCAATCTAGAGGTGAGTGAGTCTTGCTGTGACCTGCAGTGTGGTGAGTGGGAGTGTGAGTCAGTGGGTGGGTGAGTGAGTGAGAGGTGAGTGAGTCTTGCTGTGACCTGTAGTGTGGTGAGTGGGGAGTGGGAGTCAGTGGGTGGGTGAGTGAGTGAGAGGTGAGTGAGTACTCTTTGGTTCTATTGGGTAAAGTCACGTAGGTAAAAAATAAAATAACAAAAATCACGACGTTTCGGCCACAACACAAGCGGCCTTCATCAATCTAGAGGTGAGTGAGTCTTGCTGTGACCTGCAGTGTGGTGAGTGGGAGTGTGAGTCAGTGGGTGGGTGAGTGAGTGAGAGGTGAGTGAGTCTTGCTGTGACCTGCAGTGTGGTGAGTGGGAGGGTGAGTCAGTGGGTGGGTGAGTGAGAGGTGAGTGAGTCTTGCTGTGACCTGCAGTGTGGTGAGTGGGAGTGGGAGTCAGTGGGTGGGTGAGTGAGTGAGGGGTGAGTGAGTCTTGCTGTGACCTGCAGTGTGGTGGTTGAACACAGTGCGGATGAGACGAATCAGTGTCTGGTTAACCGAGTCCGCACCATGGGCAGAAGAATCAACGAGTGAAGTTCACGATAACTAAACTAATGTTATTGTTTTACCAGGTAAGGCCCACTGAGCTACATGGCTCTTTTTCAGAAGCGACCTAGCCACAAATGACAGCTCAACGAAGTGGGTTATCACGTGGGCATTTGATAGCCACAGCGAAATACTCTGAACGCGTGATGTTGATTCTAAATCGTCGTCTTCCATCGTGTGCGTAGCACTCCGATCTGCCTTCTGGTTCTACCGCGTGTCGTTTCGGCAACGTGTCGTCCCGACGTTTTTCTCCACGTTCCCAATTGCAAGAACAGCACGCAGGCAAGCAGGCCACACACACGGCTATACAGAGGTTCACAGGATGTGATTGTATCCAGCGCTCCTGCAATTATTGGGGTGTTCTGCGAAGGAAAAACATAATATCTATGGAAGCTTCAGTCTCCAGAAAATAAGATTTTGTTAAGGGTAAGATGATTAAGCTATTTGTCGTGGCCTTGTGTGGGGAGAGGATACCCCAAATTATTCCCAACTATGTCAATGCAAAACACCTCTCAAAGAACCATGTAAATACTTTTTGATTTAAAGCTTTCGTGACTGCAGTGATTCATATTCTTGGTTCTTTTTGGTAAGTATATGTAAATACTTATTAATTTGACCTATAACTAAATATATAGAGGACCGCAGAGCTTGGAGAGGGAGTTGGAAGTGGGGGGGTTTGCATTATTAATACTGATTGTGATGGGGGTAGGAACCTTCAACAGGACTGAGATCAAAGCGTGCCACTAGAGGGCAGCATCAGACTGCTGTCGAGAAACATCAATGGTGATAATTTGAAATGAAAACCCATAAATAAGAGCCTGAAGGGCAAACCTCCCAGCAGTCTAAGCTAGAAATTTGCTATGATGCCACTACTTCCATCTCGGGCCAACATTCTGTCACCCACGCAGGTTTCCAAACCCCCCACCCCTACTCACACCACAGCACAAAATCCTGCACACGCGCTGATCTACGGCCATCCGCGAGCCGAAGCCCCATTAAAACTATCTTGCCAAACATCCCCATGTTTAGCAAGGCCCTCAGACTCAATGAATCCTTCCTTAGAAACAACACATCATTACCATCATTATTAAAACGAGCACGGTTTAGAGAGACGCTGCTGTCGATGCTGCTGTTGAGCAGAGGCGCTGCCCGCCCCCCCCGAACTCCCACCACCCCCCAACCCCCCCCCCCCCCACATTTCCGTTGTATCTCACGAACGATTTCAGAGGTTCGCTTTTAACGTCCAGCCGCCGGTGAAGGTGGGCGGCCTCGTGCAAACAACCGCGCACAAAGGCCACTTGCAAGCGACGACGCGACGCACCGGCGCTGACGGTCAGCGCGTCCAGGAACTGCTCCCTCCACGAGTGCGTGCCCACCACCAGCGCCAAGTTGGTCTTCTTGATCAGCTTGTCGACCGTGCTCTGCGGGGCGAAGGGAGGGAGCGAGGTGCGTGTGTGCGAGACAGCGAACGGGGGGGGGGGGGTGGCCGCTAAGGGAACGGAACGCGATCGCAGGCGCGCTGTGGTGGTGGGGGGGGGTGATGTGCCGCGCACGGCCCTCGAACGGAGGCGGCACCGTGCCCCCCGCGTGCGCGTGGTCACGGTGTCGCAGTGGGTAAGCGGCGCGTCGTGGCGAACGAAGGGAATCTCTCGCGGCCTCGAAAGTGTCGGCGCACACCGCTAATTAATTGCGTCTCAGCCTCGGCTCTGACGTGACGCCGTCTTTACTTTTAGTCCACCTGCACCAGCCCAGCATGCGCTCTCTCTCTCTCTCTTTCGTGTTGTGCGCGGTGCTTTTTAGCGCCACAGCGCGTGGATTTGTAACGTTTATTTTCATTTGTTTTTGCTGGTGACTTTGTGTATTTCATATCGAAATCGCCTCCAGTGGTGTTGCTGCTGGAGGCAATAAAAGTTGTTTAAAAGTCAAGTCTGTCTCTCTCTCTGTCTCTCTATCTCTGTCTCTCCCCGACCAGCAGACGCCCGCATTTCGCGAGGTGCCGCTGCTAGTTATGACTCAGCCGTTCACCGGCTGAAGCGCGGGGCACACAGACAGATATATTACGTGGGAATGAAACTCATAGCTGGGGGACGTTGGCAAGCAGCGGATGAGTAATTTCCCGAGTGCCAGGTCAATGTGCCTCGCCCCACATTCCGAAATCGTTTTCCTTCCAATTATTAATTATATTACTTTCGTGCCGGTTGTGCGCTTCAGCGCTGCAGCCGGGCGCGTCCCATTGCGCGCGAGGGAGACTCGACCGCGGACGGCAGAATCGCTGTGACGGAGATGGCCAAGAGGCTCAAAGGTCGCCCCCACCGCCGAGATGCTGGGTTCGAACATCGGAACCGTCAGAATCTTTATTCATACTGCAGGAGGAAATTCGATGAGCTATGATGCTCTTTCTTTCAAAATAGATGTCCAGTAGGGGTGGGTTTCAGGCACCCGTGATTTATCCGGGTTTTCAAGTGCAGTGAGTTTATATTCTCATCCCAACACACACACACACATGTTTAATGGAATGCGATGAAGTCCGTAGTGAGATGTGTGGGAAAAGTGCAGCGCTCCTCCTCAGGTTTGGGACGAACGAAAGTCACTGGAAGGAATCTCGGCAGTAGTTCTGTGACATTATCTTTTGTGGGCTGTTCTCTAACACAAGGACGGGTGATGCACTGCTCTGGGAGTTTTCGAACAGACACCTTGGTCTCATTATATGACACCGAGAAGACAACTTGAATAAAACTGGCAAAGAGACACTTAAAAATATATGTTTACATAATGTGACGAGTGGGGTTATGGGAGAAAATGTCGGCTTTAGGTTCACGCTGTCCGACTTGCAAAAGGCTGTCACCTGGACCAAGTTGACGGGAAGTCGGCTGCTTTCGTGCGCAATCTCCGTGAAATTTCTCACTCGGCGCGAGGCACCGTGTCCAAGGATGGTAAATATAGAAAATTAATAAATAACGCAGTTATAAAAAAAATCACATCAAAAATTGGGAAGCAAAAAAAAACCTTGTCACTGAGGGCTGCTTTACGGATTGCAATTCCAAAGGACACACTTGACGAGGCCGCGATGGCAGACCGCAGTGGCCTTTGGCATAAACACAGTTCAACCGACTTGCACTTACATACATAGGCACACGCGCAGCACTCACTGCTTGCATGCTGTGCTTATTGATGAAGAGTTTGGTTCATCATCGTCATGAGTCCGCCGCTGGATGAAGTTCGCTTCAAAACTTCCAAATCGTCACTCTAAAGTGTGCAGTTGAATTCGCCGCTTCGAGTGTCGTGTTGGCTTCGTCATCTGTATCGTTTCTCTAATTCTTGTTTTTAATACATGTGTCTTTTGATTTGGTCCTCCAGCCGAAACGTAACATCGGCGTTTAATTTCCTTATAATTTTAACACATTGGTCTTATGCACACGCAATTCAGTGCGTGCAGTTTGGGCCGAAAACATTGTGAAATGGTCGCAAAGCGACATTCGATTCCTATTATGTTGAGTGTAGATTGGGCCTTAACATTGGGAGTTGTCGCAATGCGAGATTCCATTGTTTCTACGTTGAACGCAGCGACCCAGAGGTCTCCGAGAGGCAATACGAATCAAACCGGAGCGACGATTATCGACGCAGGTACATTGTGAACGTGAGTATCGAGTTGTGCTCGATGCCTTGCAATCGAACGCATCGTTCATCGAGACCAATTGTATCCATTCGCGCTCAGTCGATCAATAATAAACAAACATCAAACATACCGGGGTTAATCAGAAGCCACGGGTTAATCCGCTGCGTCGATTCATTATCACCCCCCACCCCCTCTCTCTCTATCTCTTCATTGGTGGATTGGCTAATATCGGCAAGATCGGTGATTCCGTAGCAGTCCGCTTTCGTTGTGACCGCACCGCCACCGGCCGCCTCTCCCACCTTGAACTCGTACGATTCCTCGATGATGACCTCCATGCGCGGGTGCTCCCCCAGGACGGGACGGCCCATCTCCGCGATCCGCTTCGCCTCCTGCTCCTCCACGCTCAGCGGCTTCCTCTCTCCGTCCTCTGCGCGGCGCGAACGGGGGGCGACCACCGCCAGCGCCGAGAGAGTGGCGAGAGTGGAGAGAGGCAGGGGAGAGAGCGCGGAGAGGAGAGAGAGCGGAGAGGCCACGGGAAGTCGCGTGGGCTCTCACAGCTCGGTCACGCACAACTCCGGCTCACTGCCGGCTCGTAACATTTCGCGAGGTCCTTCGCAATAACATCGCGCGCGCATTTGTGCCTGTGTGTGTGTACTCGTGCGGGAGTTCTGTCATTCCGCTGCTGGATTGAGGGGGCTTTGCAACGCCGTGCTGGTTTGCGGGGGTGGGGGCGGGGGCGTTACGTGAGCATCCTTCACGGCCACACCGATGTGCCGTTGTGCCGGTGCCTGGCATGCAGACTCTGGGACAGAGTTGCGGCGCCGCAAAGGGATCTTGCTGCAACTGCCCTCTGCTTACCAAGCGGGTCGTGTGCATGGTTGACCGTCGCTAGCTTCTCCTCTGTGTTGCTATACCACCCGCGCAGCAACGCACATTGCATAGGCGATGCATCACAACGCGGCATCGCTTATTCACTTTCATTTTCTCTTTGCGCTCATGTACGTATCGTCGAGCGAGGCTCACCACCGGTGGCGGTATTTTGAACGTCAACGTCGGCTCGGGGTGACCGTGACACGGCTGCTGACCCCCCCCCCCCCGCCGGCCTCCCAATTACAGCGGTGGCTCGGAGCCCGCTTCGTTTGTGCAGTGCCAGCTTTTATTCACCCCCCCCTCCTCCTTCCCCCACAATGCATTGAACGTTGAACATCTGGCACGGTGCAAACAATCGTCACGTCAGTGGGGTGGTGGTGGGGCGGGGTGCATAGCAGATCCCAGCACCGCGACAGCCTATGCATTATTTATCCAAGTACATACGACCTCCCTCCTCCCAACGCCTCCCCTGCTTAAGCCATGTTGGTTTCAAATAACTGTCTCAACTCTGCCAGTAGGGTGGCAACCTATGTGTCTGTACGGCTGTACCGTATTGTGCTGCCGACCTCCTCGATGCTTCCCTACTTCACCAAGACGCACTGACCAGCGTGAAGTACGGGCGAGGAACTGCCACGACCTGCGTGGTGCGCGTGGGGGGAGTTCAGGGGTTGTCACTTCCGAGGTGCAAAAAAAACAAATCCAGCCCATATTGTGGGGGGAAAAAAATATCTGACAATACCGGGAGAGGCGGGGCACTTCGACAAGTAAATGTGAGTATTATATGGTGGATTGTTACGGTATTACCATCAACAATAAAAAAAATAGGGGAGTTTTAATGACCCAGGCAGACTTGTCTATTTTTTTAGGACAGCAGCTACCTTCTCTAAAAAGAGAATAATCAAGGGGAAAGCAGGACAGGTGGCGACCATAACCTGCCAGTCTCGTGTCCCGTGCAGGGACTCATGATTGGCAGTCCAGGATGTGGAAAACAAAAATGTAAAATAAAAATAAAAACCTCACGGAATTTTTTTTTTTATAAACATAAAGTTGAAAAAGTAAGTTTGGCTAAAACTTTGTCGGGTTGAGATGGCGAAGTGATTCTTCTGAATCGGATCTTCTATTGGTCCATCTCAACACGTCTGGGTAACCAAATCTCCTCTGCGAAATGATCAAGAGAGTGGAAATCATTCTCGAGTTGAATCGTGACAATGTATCTCATCGTGCTGCACCGCCTGAGTGACAGGTGTGCAAAATTGAAAATTGTGGAGAAACTAAAAAAAAAAATCCAGATTAATTTAAGCGACAACTTTATAATTACGAGGCAGGCTAAATAAACACGCGCGATGCCAATACGATTTAGCAGCTTAAAGCCTGCGCAGAGTACAGGCATTTCAATTAACTTTAATTGACCGAATTTGCATGGGAAATATTGAAAGATGAATTTAATTGAAGACAAAAAACTCACGGTGGTCACTGCCAATTCTACTTTCTGCCTGGTCCGCAAAGTAAGATGCGTCGAGGTTGGCCAAACGTGCTACACGGTGCGTGTGCATGCTCACGTGTACCAGCACGCGCGCAGTGGCGGCGCTCGGCGCATGCAAACAAAGCAAAGGCTGAGGGTCCCCAAGTAGGCCAAGGGGCCCTGGATGCTTGTGTTGTTGTGGTTAGTTCGTTGGCCTTGCCCCGCACCGTTTGGCTGCGTACGGTGCGAACGAAGTTCAACGAACGTACCTAAACCGAATAGCTATGCATCAAAATATCAGCTCAAATTGAAACCAAATCGATATAACAATTAACAGGAGCTGATTAAAACTTTCTGATCACTATCTTGTCTTTATCTCTCTTCTCTCGTCTCCTTACATCTCTAGCCTTGTTGACATTTCTCTTATCTTAGCACACGTCATGGCTCTCGCGTTATTTCTCATCTGCCATCTCACAAGGGATTTGCACGTCAATTTCTTCTCAGGGCTCCCAATGGGCCACCATCACCACTGGGAAGCCCGCTTCGATCTGCAGTATAACAAACTTTATTCGGGTAACGACTAATTCTGACCAGCACAAACCAATGATCTATGTTATTGATGATGCTCTGTGTATGGCTTAGGTTAACAAACAAAACACCGTGAGTAAAAATTTTCACCACGATAATCATGAGATTTTTTTGTTGTTTAAATGCCTAAACTATTCAAAGTTATTTCAGGTTGTAACGCGCGCCGTTCGGCACGGTGCCGATCGAGCAAGCGCTCGTTCTGACCGGTGCCAATCAGGGACCTGTTGTATTGACGATGAGACATGGACGATCGATGACCTTTGAACTCAGCTACAAAAAAAACAGCGACGATGCTCCTCTTGGGATAGCTCCGTGGTGCGGTGGTGATGTGGTCGTACGGCTAACACCAGTGACGATTATCTGAACCGGCCATGGGCCTCCCCTAGGTCGACTCAGCCTCAAATGAGTACCTGGTGCGATGATTAAACATCGCCACTGGGGAGACAAAGGCGGCCGGGCGTGGTGTTGGCCACCCACCCCCTCGTGCGCCGTGCCGGCCTTTATAGGTGCTCGCTAACCGCACTTGCCCCTACAGTCTGTGAAGGCTATACGAGGGATCTGTGTCTTTGTGTGCGTGTGTGCGTGCGCGCGGCATGGCACCGCACGCACGCACACACTCGCCGTCCGTCCCTTTTGAGGGCGCTCACCTCCGGAGGCGACATTTACGAGGAGCGGCGGGGGGAACATTTGTGCGAAACCGCCGCCCTCTCTGCCCAAAAAAAAAAAGGCATCAAAGGCTCCCGCTGTCGCGCGGCTGACGGCTTCGGCGAACGACGTGTGGTCGGCGAGGGCTGTCTCATCGAACGCAAGGGGCTGCTGCTCGTCAGCCGAGTGTGGGGGTGGTTCTCATCACGAGAGTGTTTTCCCTGGGGTTTGCGCTCTTGTCGAAAAGGGGCACCCCCCAGGTTCGACCCCACGATTCCAAAACGGCCCGCACAATTTAATGAGTCGTTCGTCACGGAAATCTGCAATTGACATTGGCGATTAATTTTGATTAACTCTTTAGCATCCGCGCGCGCAATGGTTGGCAACGCGGGGACTTGCAATCCGGAGGTCACCGGTTCGAGTCGACCCTCGAGCGTAGCAGTCGAAACAACGGCGCCAGGATCTTGAATCCCTCCCACCCACCCCCACTTCACCGCTGTTCACTCAGCAGCTGAAAGGGGTGGACTACTGCACAGTTACTTGATCAGCAGGCCGCGTGTGGTGGGGTCAAGTGTGGGTGCTCCCACCTATCCCAAGATGCCTTACCCAGCATGAAAGATAAACAGTTGAGCGAGAAGCCTTTCCACCAGCAGTGGCGTGAGCAAGCACTTTCAAGGCTGCACCTTTACCCTAACCGTCTAATGACTGGAAAGTGCTCTATGTGAAAACAACGATAACTCTTACGCCTGGAGCTAGGATCATTAACCCAGATACGATGATGCATCAACGTTGTGCATCGGTGATTTGGGGTTGTTCTTATCTTCTGTAATAAATAGGCACTGCAGAAATTAAATTATACATTTTACATGTTTAGGTCAGTCGACACTTCAACTATGGTTAAGATAATTAGTTATAAATGCGTCAATGGCATGGCAGGCATGATTCCTCTTAAGAATAATTAATTAATCGCATTATAAATGGCTCGCGTTAAAATCAGCATCGTAAAATGTTTATATACGAATATGTGATTCTTTCTTTTTTTCTACTAAAGCCTACCTCCCAGTGCACAATAAGGTTTTACTTAAATGGATTTTCTGGCACAAACGCGGATATTGGAAACTGTTGTTCATGTGCCTGTACGCATGCATGTGGCTGCGTTACTCAACAACAGCCTCATTTTTCATGCACGGTCCATCCGTAATACAACTAAATTCAAAACAATCGATTCAACAAAACCTTGACTTTTATCTAATTCCTACAAGGGTACATGCTTCAACCCATTATTTGGAATCCAGGGCTCCACTTTTACAACGCAGAGCTCGGTTTTAAGAAGTGAAATACAATTTGGACGGGGCACAGCATTTCAGCGTAACCACGTCTCAAGACGAACAAATAAGTGGGACACATGCATCACAGAGGGAAAGGGATCCGTATGTGTTTTGTTTGTATATATGACGTAACAGGAAAAGGTGCAGCCCTGTAATTAAACGAAACAATTTTTTTTATTTTATCAGGAAGGGCCCACTGACCTATGCAGCTCTTATTCAGAAGCGACCTGGCCACATGTGATAGCTCAACGAAGTGGCTTATCGCGTGAACTTTTATAGCAGCCAAATAATCGAAACGCATGTTGATTCTAAATGCAGCGGGATCGAACCCACGACCTCCTGTATACCAGGCGAGGTAGTTAACATCTCGCCACTGCGGTACCCCACGGTGGCTCGTGAATCTGCTGGCCGTAGGGGTCCCGTTAGGGGAAGCTCTAAAGAGAGGGTATTTGGCTTTCTCCTCCTCCTCCTCCACACTGGCGAGGCATCATGTAAGAGGAGAAAGGACCCACACTCTTCCCCCACCACACTGCAATCTGCCGACAGACGACTAATTGTGGTGCGTTCCGGGAGATCGCATTTGCGATCTGCGTGTCGCAAGTCCAGTGTGCTGACCCATCGCATCGTGGCGGCAGCCACTGCATATACATACATACACACCTACGATATGTTAACATTGGGTTTGATGAGGTTCACGAATTGTATGCTTTCCACGTGATCCCGCTCTACGTTCTCCAATGGACTTGAAAGGAAATTGACGGCAAGTACGTGCCCTTTGTGGACAACTTGTGAGCGACAGTGATGGAGATCCGGGATAATAGTGGGCGTGGAGGATTAGGGTTTAAGAAGCCTTGGGCTGTGTGAAAATCACACACGGGTAAATGTTCCCGAAGTTATGGTTTGTTTATGTTTACGTAATGTAGGTTAGCGTTTCAACAGTGTATATGGAATACAGCTGTAGGTGAATAAGTGTTGTCTCTTGTACCTTCTATAAACTTTCACACCGTTTACAAGAAGTGCACCGAATGTGTGTTTGACTATTATTACTGCGGCTACGTTAAAACATTGGTAGTATTTGTATCCTGATTAGATAGCATGAAACTCTGATTGGGCTGACTAACAACATGACTTGATCTTTATTCCACAATAATAACTATGCTGGACCCAATAATATACGAAATACATTCGGGATAAGTGTCGGAGTTCAATATATTCAGATTTCACATTTTTAGGGACCATTTTGAAAACATTTTCATATTTTGCGGATCGTTCGCGTTATTGCAATCATTTTTAAGTGTCATCAGGCCGACGCGACGACACGTGACACCACTTTTTGGCAGGAAATGCATCGCATAAGTGGTGGCGCTTCCCGTAACGGCAGATTTTCCCAATTAATCCAAGAACAGATATTTCCCCCGGTCATCTATTTCACAATTTAGCATCATGGCCGGATGTTACAAAATTTCATCTGAAACTCATCCCTAGTTTCTGTGTACAAGCAATGAGATTATTGATATTATTTTGAGCTATCATTTGTGGCCAGGTCGCTTCTGAAAAAGAAGTGAATACCTCAGTGGGCTTGGCCTGGTAGGATGGGGATGGTTTCGTTTCATTTGTTTGTGTCTGGGTGATTTGTTGACCTGTCTTGTACTTTGCACTGCTGTCGTGTTGTTATAACTGTTTGTTGTTGTAACGTTTCTACCCGCGCCTATTGGATATGTGTGAAGAGGCGCTTTATAGCTCCTCGGATCCTCCGGTATAAATACATATTTTGATTCTGTACATTTCATATATATAGAGTATTCACATATTACTGGACAACAACTGGCACTTGATTTTACATATATTGAGCATCCATTCCTCCATGTCTACTGCACAGACGGTTTGTGGATCTGTCGCAAATGGGGATAAAAATGTAAGGCTATGTGCGTCGAGATAGCCTCAATTCGCCATCGTGCATGGACATTTCCAACATGTGTGGCGGTCTGCGGCATTGGCTCCCGGTGCGCGTGTGAAAGGAAGCGGGGCAATCGCGCAACCTTAACAAACACGTCGACTTTCGCGGCCAATATCATCCATAATTGTCATCGGGCTGTCCGCCCGATGATCCTCGTCGTAGTTACCGGTGAAACGTCGCCCTCGAATTGTAAATGCTGTGGGTTTTACTCTCGAAGACGCCGGTGAGTGCTGAACTCGTAACGAATTGGCACTTTTTTCACTCCAGCGCTGTCCTCCAGACAGTCTCGTCCCTTCACCTGATGAAGGCCGCTTGTGTTGTGGCCGAAACGTCGTGAGAATTTCATTGTGTTATTTTATTTTTTACCTACGTGACTTTACCCAATAGAACCAAAGAGTGTGGCACGTTTTAGTTTACGTGACAAACCTTACTCGTTGGCTGTGTCGGGTGGTGGTGGCGGGTTTAACGACAAACATTCACGCAATCTAACCCCCCCCAAAAAAAACCCTCGCATTGATTTAAAAAAAAATGTTTCGATCCGCAGCGTTACGCAATGGCCCACTTGGCTGCGAAATAATTTTACACCGCCAAAAAACAAATCCTACGCTCACAAGTTTTATCCAAATCAATCGATTGTCCACACTTTTCGTGTAGACCCGATTGGTGCTTTTCAGCTCAATATCAGCGGCGTGTAAACACAGATTTCAAGAGCCTCCATTCCTCGGGAATCGATATTTTTTGTGCCTGTAAATGCAGCAAATTATTCTTTTTATTTACGGGCTACACAATAGTGGCGGTGGCCCATGGTGAGCCAGAGAGAATGAAATTAAATAAATATTTGTTTTCGCGTTAACTTGAGCCAGTGCCCTGATTTACAAAGTTGGCTTCGTTTGAACACATCTCAAATGTGTGATTACACAAACGGGTTCATAAACATACAGAATGCAGCCGCTTCGACTACGAGGGGATATGGATCTTGTCAGCTTTTTTTTCGTACAAAGGCGTCAAAATAAAAACTATATCGAGTGCACAAACATTTTTTTGTTATTTTTCATATCGTTCAGGTAGACTTTGTCTGATGAAATCTAAACATACGTGAACCGTATACCCGGACGAGCGTGGAATGCGATAGAGGAAGTTCATGTTGCAAGGGAGTCTACGAGAGATCATTGAACTAACAAGTCAAGAGAGTTGTGTAAATGTCGTGTGGTCAGTATTCATGGTTAGTTTGGTCACAAAGGGGTTACGCTGCAAACCACACGCAGTTTTACACAACACGTGCGAATAATGTGTTGGCACCGCATCAGACGTGTTCTTAAAGGAAGTCAGCGCAGCCACTGACGAACAGAGAAGGATGCGTGCATTGTAAAATGGGCTCATTAGTCCCGTTGTAGAGATGAACAAAGGGCCAGATTCACATCTTTGAAAAATCAAAGCCAACCACATCGCCGTCCTGATTTCCGGCATACTCTAGGTTTCCAAAAAAAAAAATTCATTCATAAATGAAATACGGTTTGGTCGAATTAAAGTTCTTTGGAATATAGCTCGGATGGATACAAATGTATAGGGCATTTTTTTCCCTCATAATTCGTAAAACAAATTAATGGTAGGACATAATGAATGAGTATGAAGTTAATATGACCTACAAGTTAATAGATTCCAACCAATCACAGGCAGCTTTAATCAGGAAGCCACTATAAAAGCAGCCAGTATCAGCTGTTAGAAAACCAATTCCTATCTGAAGGATGGCGAAGCGACTCAACTTAGAAAAATATCAACATTTATTTTTAAAAAGCAGAGCTGTTGCTCGGAACTTTTTTTTTCACGGAAACCCGGCGAACGATTGTAACGGGGAGATGTTGCCGTAAAACAAATGTCCATCGACAACACGTGAATCGAGCCCGTGGAGTTATCGAGGTTTGGTTATTAGTTTTGGTGGCATTTAAATCGACAACCGAAGGGGTTTCTACCTGAGAAATTCACGATGGCAGCAGAAATTATATTCTCTCTGCTCTGTATTTTCCTGTACAGCGGGTGGCCTATAGATGTTTTTTTTCACATTCAGAGGGAGGAAAACATGTCATTGTAAGACAATAATCAGTGGCGTGGTATTCGTGGACATCGAGAGTAGAAATGAGATAAGCACAAGCCGTGAACAACTGCAAATTTACAATCGATCATCTTTATGTCAGAAATAATTGATGAGATGCAGTACGAGGGAGTGGCGGTTCTTACCCTTGAACATGCCACCTGGCAGATTAATGTGGAAATGAGAGCAAAACAACGGAGAAAATATGAGAAACAATATGCAAATGAAATATTTAAAAAACATGTTATTTTGGAATATATTTTCATTTTAAAAAAACAAGCATTTATTTAAAAAGTGTACGAGTATTCTTCACACTGTGCGACACGTTAAAGTTAATACTTGTACGATATATTATTAACGAATAAGCCTCCTTAAGCACATACTAAGTCAAACAATGAAGCGACGTAATAACGATGTACATTTTAAATATTTTAAAAATACGTGAATGTCTACTAAAAGTGTACGAAGTATGTGAGAATAATTACTTTTCCGAATAGGTTAGCAAATTCCTCATACCTGTTCTCACTAGCTCACCTACAGACAGAAAACGATAAATATCGCATAGTCGATTAAATCTTCACATTTTGAATTACCACGATGTTGAAGGAAGATGCAATCCAAAAATAAACAAATGTCCTCGCGCACTGGGTAGCTTTTCGCTGTGGTGCCCTCTAAGCGCCCCCATGTGTTTTCAGGTTGCACTGCGTGTTGCTCGCCACGATGTCCGACGTTTCGCGATGCATGCTTACGCCCAAACGCACGAGAGTGCCATGATAGTGTACGTGCCCCGTAACTTCGAGATAATTTTCTTTTTATCTCGTGATGTTCAAGGCATGGCCCCCTGAGCGGTAGCACGTTCGGCTCTTGTTGCAGAGGCTTGCGGTTCCACTCCGGCAGGCCGCCTGTTTAATTAAAAGCTAAATTAAAATTTTTGTTTATTTGATTTTCACCAGATAAGGCCCACTGAGTTATACAGCCACAGACGATAGTTCAACTAAGTGGCCATTCACGTGGAAATGTATGGCAGCCAAACACTCTAAACGCGTGGACGTTGATTCTAAGTGTGGAGAGAAAAAAACAGAGGATCCAGAGAAAAATCCACGCGACCACGGCGAGAACATGCCAACTCCAAATATACAGCAGCAGTAGGCGTCAGGGTCGGGATTGAACCCATGCCCTTCTCCATACCAGGCGAGGTAGTTAACATCTCGCCTCCATGACGCTCTGCTGCTGGTGCATCAACCACGAAATACACACCAGCTGCTTCACAGTGGACTTTTAGGATCCCCGTTGGTTCGAAATTTGGGAATCGCTCACAAATTACTTGATGGGGGGAAATGTTCAGCGATCGCCGCCCCTGCTGCGAAAACTTAGCAGGAAGCTCCCGAAACACGCAACTTGGATACCTATCTACAAGATGCGAGACATTCGTGGTTTTTGGATTGCATTTTTAAAACAAGAGCAAACAATCGAATATATATTTAAATCTACGTGACTCGATTTGCATAGTGTGTGTGTGTATATATAAACACACAGCCCTTTGGTCAATCCACTGCTGGATGAGGGCCGGCCCCTTCCGTTCAGGTCGTGGAGGTTACGTTTACCATACGTCACCTCGCCGATCAAGTGCGGGTCGGTGAGCGTAGAAATGGGAGCATTGAAACACGGCACACAAAAAATGGATTTCGTCACGCTGCCCTCTGCCACCAAACCACTTGGCACAGGCATGTAGCAGCGCGTGACAACCTGGCGTGCATCGCCGGCGCCAATGCCAGCACTATCCAGGCTCGAGGCTGCTTAGCTTGCAAGATCAGACGAGATCGAGCTCATTGCGCGTGAGTTGTCCATCGTGCGCGTACATATGTAGCATTGTACACATATGGCATGTCTGATAAATAACCGTGGTAATCGTGTTTCGTGATTGGCAAAAGAAGCAGCGCGTGGTGGGAGAACAGCTTTGAGAACGACAGTGGAAACGGAATGGAATCTTACCAGGCTCTTTCAGTAACATGGCTGTTCAAGCAAGAAATGAGAAAACACAAGAAGAAAAAAACGGCGATTGTAAATAAACGATACGAGGAAGGAAAGACAAACAAATGTGTGCGAGTCTAGACGGTATTGCGGAGTTAATGATAACGCCTCTGATTCTAATCTTACCGCTGACCGCATGGAGGCAATGGCGCGGAAGTTTAAGAAAACCTTCACCAGCGTGCCAACTGCTGCACCTGGGGATCGACTCGAACCGGCGGCCCTCTGGCCTGCAAGTTCGATTGCGCTAACCAACGCGGACGGGTGAACGCCGCGGGGGTCCCCACCCGCCGCGTTCTGGATGAAATTCCCAAATGTCATTCGTAGAACTAAAATCAAGCGCGTCCACCCCCCCTCCCCCCCCCCCCACCTTCTTACACTGCCCCAGAGTCCGCCGTCACGCTCTGGTGAAGTTGCGATGCTGCCACGGCTGGGTCAGGGCACCGAGCGGCGTGACCCGCAGGCGGTCTCCCGCGTGTCGCCACCGCCAAGTGGGGGTGGCGAGGACGAGGCGCTAGCGGGCGTTGCGACTTGCCAGCCTGTCGTAGCGTTGCTTCGTGAGCGTCCCTCGCGTGCGATGCGAAGCGTGGCGCTAAGCCCCCCCCCCCCCCCCCCGCGGCCCAACGGGTGTTCGACCGCACCCGAGTGCGTTTTTGAGTTCTTCTCTTATCGCGGTGGCACGGCGAGCTTCAGGCGACTCGAGCGGCCCTTTGGAACAACGCGTGCCGTTCGTTGCGGCTGCTGTGTTTTAAATTGTAGCAGGTGAGGCCCGCTGAGCTATTCGGTTATTTTGCAGAAGCGACCTGGCCATCACAAAATGACGGCTCAACGAAGTGTGGCTTATCGTCATCGCGTGGAAATCCATTGCAGACAAAGACTCTAAGCGCGCGATGTCGATTATAAATGTGGAGGCGGGGGGGAACCGGAGGACCCGGAGAAAAATCCACGCGACCACGGGGAGAGAAACGCAAACTCCAATTACACAGCAGGCGTCAGGGTTGGGATAGAACCCACGACCTCCTGCATACCAGGCGAGGTAGCTAACATATCGCCCCTATGTTAGCTTGCGTTCCACGTTAGGCGGAAAGTGTTTTCGTAAAAATGTGGTGGGTGGGAGGGCATATTCTGGCGAGTGATTGACTCCATCATATCCCTTCACCTCCAAGGCCAGCCACTATTAAGTGTCACGTAAAAACGATATATGTTTTGAGACACCAGCTGGCGGAGTGATGAAAGTTAGATTTCCTACGAAAAGTATAAATATTTACGCGATCTAACCACAAAAAAACTCTACTATGTATAAATAAGATGTTCGCACTAATTTGAGCGCACGCGTGGTCAGATGGCTGGCGACTGCAAATGAAGACATCTCCCCAGAAGCAGATTGAGCAATCGCTGCGTACGACGATGATCCTCAGCCCCCTTTTAGTTTCTCGCGATTATTGCTGCATAGCTCAGCTGCGTCTTGCCGGGTTGTGTCACGCATCGCCCCGCTTGACATCGGACGTGGAGCGAAACGTCGGAACATCATGCCCGAACGATCAGCGGCAGCCACCCACAAACGCGACTGCGAGCTACAACAACAAACGTCCACTTTGGCTTCCCCAACCCCACGTAAATCTTGTGAGGTTCCTTTGAGCGGGACATTGTATCCTTTACGAAAGGCGGGCGCTGTAGAGATGTGTTCTCGCCTCTTATTTAACCCCCCCCCCCCCCACTTATATCAACGTAACATTTTCATTCACGTATTCATAACGGGGATGTGGCGTGTGTTTTTGCTTGATAAGGGGTTGAAAAGAAAGAGAGAGAGAGAGAGGGAAAACCCAACCAAATATCCGTGCAGGAAATACCTTTACGCAGCGAACATCACAGGGCTCGCGGTTCAAAAGGCCAATAAACAAAGAAACAATATAAAGAGAGAGAGAGAGAGCGGGGTAAAAAACAAAACCATGCATACTGGATGAGTGTCACTGCACCACACGATAAGAAGTGGGGAAAACAAACGTGCTGCAAGGCTCCACAATTTGAGGCCCCAAACCAACGCAGCTCACAAACGAATTTGTGGCGGCGGGGCGGGGGGGCGAATTAATGAAGAAATCAGGAAAAATAATTAAGCGAGTTTGGAATGTCGCGGTGGATCACCACGCGTAATTGTACGAATGTATCGTGAGCGAATGGACACGTTAAAGGTGGGGTCTCTTTTTTCTTTACAATAATGACAATTTACAATAATAAAAAACAAAAATGATCATAAAAATAACACCACCACCACGGCAATGGACTTAATCATGGGGCGGGATGACGATGGGAGTGTGCAGATCGATAGCGGAAGGGGTTGTAGTTCCCGAACCTGTCGTGCCTTGGTCTATCCACCTGGGTTCGCCAAGAACGAGAAAAAAATTATCTTGCTTTTCGTATTCTTCATCGTCTGTTATCTTAATGTGAATTGTCTTTCTGTGGGAACACACAGAGGGATGGGGGTGGGTAGGGCGGGGGGGCAGAGGTTTTGTTTGGGGGGCGGGGAGTGAGTTGAAGAAGTGTCACAAGGGAGAGTGCATGGGTAAGGCAGTGACTCGGGTTATTAAACCCAACGCGCACACACACACGCGCGCATGCACCTGGCACACGGCTTAACCTTTAGGGTTAGTACGGATTAGCATGGCAGGGTGAGTGGGTCGGCCAACAACACTTGGACAAGTCGACTCACTTCGCCTTGCAATAAAAAAACCAAGCGATTAGTCAAACAGGTAGAGTACATCATTGACGTCCTGGCGCCTAGCGATATCACATGGCGGAACACCGGATGACACGTTTGAGATAGACTTCCATTCACGTCCTCCGAGAAGTCAAATTGACAGCGTAATTATTTTGAATCGAAGATATTTAACGTGAAAAAAATTCCAACGTGGAACTCGTTAATTTCACCATGTGATATGTGAAACCGGTGAAATTAGCGGCGTTAGGGAGGGTGGAGCGCACACAGAGTTAAGAATTCCCACGCAAGGCATCGTGGGTATACAACCTTTTCTTTCGCTCATCTCAACCATCCGCGGCTCGCCAAGCTCAATAAACATGTTCTTGTTTTTCTCATACTCTTCGTCGTCAATTACTTTGATCGCAATTATTTTGCTGTAAAGAAGAACAAAGTAACACAACAACAACAAATCACATACCGGGCGGGGGGGGGAGAGAGAAATAAAACACCCACGACAATAATTTGGGTTGATAAAAATATTAAAACACACACTTCGCACTTACTAATTGGCAGATGCATTAATTTACATTGCACGGACAATTCATTAATAACGTTGTGGATTGCATCACCCTCCCCATCCGACAGTCCCCCCCCCCGCCTTCCCCTCCAAACTCTACAAATGGCTCAGAAACGCATCGTTACAGTTCGTTCAACGTAGCGCTGAATCGTGAACCAGCTCAGCGCGGAATCCAAAACAGCGCTTCGAAATGCAACGCGAATATCATCAGCAAGGCGGCGTTATAGCCTCCCGATTTACAACAGCTGCTCGCGAATTGGATGACGCACTCTGCAATGATTTCATTTCGTTCGCGGGAGGGGCCTCGTGGTGCGTGGTTCCGTGGTACCACGGCGGGTGCTGCTGTTTTGCGTTAAGTGGATGATTGTTCAAAGTGGCGAGGTGTTTTAGACTTTGGCGGCCACGACAAAGCCGTTGGCGCCGCTTCTCCCATGTCGCCCTCTGTGGCTGCAGCGTCAAAATTAATTAAAAAAACGTCTCGCCGAGAATAGCCGGGGACACGAAACACAAAACCACTCGCTCTCTCTCTCTCCCTCTGGCGTGCACGCGCGCGCGTGAACTCATAGCCACATCGGCGTCAGTCATTTGCATTGTCAAAGTGACGAACTGCTGCCTTCATTATAAATGTATATTTATATTAAAGGAAATCTGCATACGCTGTTGTTTTTCTGGTCGATCGTACCCGCGCGCGGGTGTGTCACGCGGTAATTACGCGCGCGATTTCCCTTTCCCAAAAGCTTCGCCGTGTTTAATTGGCTGCTGTGTTGATGTTCGATGGTTATTATTTTTTATTCTGGCACACACACTCGCTCTGGTCCGCCCCCCCTCCAGTTAACTTATTTTTTAACACGTATCTGATAGCGTGTCGCCTAATATCCAACACTCCTACTGACGTTGTCATCCGTATCGTGCCTCGACAGGCGAAAATGTGTCTAACATTCCTGCCAGCGGTGTCGATATCACGTGTGCAGGCGGGGCGAGTGTGCAGGCGGTGCAACTGCGCCGGCTCGCCACAGGCCCGGACGGGGCCCAGAGTGCGTGGGAAGAAGAATGAGTCAGCGGCAGGCCACGATTTCACTCCTTGCGCCCTGGGCCGATGCCAACCACCACGCTTCGAGGGCACGGATTCGTGCGAAGGGATGTAGGCGCACCATTGGTTGAAGCACTCATCCCCACGAACGCACGTTACCCCCCGCCCCCCCCCCCCCCCCCTTGCTTGAACTCATTCGTTATTCATTCGGTGTTTAAACAGTTCTGGCGCTACACGTGACAAAAGGGATGGCACGGAATCATCTGCCAGGAACGCAGCAAAGTCAGAAAGAACAAATATGAAATGTACAGCGACAGTTATAGCAGTTGCAGTTGCTTTGTATTGTTACAGACAGGCATTTGAATCATTTGGCGGGACCCTGGGGTCCCGCAAAAAAATCAGGTCAATAATTATTATTTTTCTTCAGTCCGCCCCACTACGTGATCCCGACAGCAACGCGCCGCCCGCCCAGACTCGCGCCAACAAGCGCCAGCAGCAGCAGCAGGCGGCGGCGATCGACACGATGGGCGCCACCCCACCGGCCAAACGCAAGCCCCGGGGGACGTCCGCCGGAGTCACGCACGGCGACAACGCCCTCTGGTCAGCCGTCGATCCTCAGCTTCTTTGCCAAGGCGAGCCCGCCGCCCCCCAGGCAGTGAATTTAACGTGTTTATGTAATTTTTCAACTTTTACGAAACCGAGTGCCCCGAGTAGCTCTCGACGAGGCCAATCGATTGACACTAGTTTTGTTGTCGGTAAGGCAAGACTCGTGTCGCTACGCGGTTTTTCCAACCCCGGGTCAGTGATGGGACCCCGAGGTCCCGCCAATTGCTTCATTTGATCTTTTCTCACTCGATATTTTCCGGGACTCTGGTTGACTGGAGCAGGCATGCGGCCAGTAGCCACAACCACGTGGAGAGGGCTGCTGGATGCAGTGTTATCGGGTGTGCGCAAATATGTCCATACACGGCTTAAATGAACAGCCCTGGTTATATCATCATGAGGCCTCCTTTGCCAGTACCAAAATATACTAATAGGGGTTTTCCCCTTTTTCCTGGCAATACAAATGACACGTTTTGCAAGGAATCATGTTTACATGAACCATATAATACTTGCAGTCAAATGCAAACAAAAAACAATACTCTGATAAGCCCTGGTTATAGTTATAGTCGCAGTCGTTGTAGCTGTTAAAGTTATGGAAGCCCTGGAATGATTCGACGCATTGTCACCAATTGGTATTCCGATTCTATTCATTAATAATGTATTTTCTTTTTTACATCGTATCGCCCCTAGTGGCTGCAGGGGTCACGTCGAAGTACAAGAATGAGAAAACCATCATTCGTATATGCACGCGTTTTCAATACGTATCTCGTGAATGTAAAAAAAAAACATGTTTTATCCACGAATCTATGCATCGTCGACACTACCTCTAGTGGCCAGTAGATAAGAGAGGACACATCGTATCTGGAGTCAAAAACAACCACGTAAGAATGCTCATCTCGTCAAGGAGCTATCGAACAAAGGCGGTGGCCACTGCATCGCGCAGCGCCTTCGGATGCGCTTCTGCGGCCGTCTGGAACGCTCTCTTCCAATTTTACGAAGATATGAACTTTGAAATCTAGATTGAAAACTCATTTTTTTTAAACTGCATTTCTGTGTGTTTTAGTTTGTTGTCCTTCGCCGCACATCCGATTAGCGCGGTTGTCTACGTACAGTGCGAAAGAAGTTCAAAGTACATAGTACTGTACATACAGTGTAAATGGTATTGGCCAAACATCCCCAACTCCGTGCAAATCGCTCAACTGGGATAAGCCCGCAAACAGCAACATCGTCGCGTGCTTCCAAAACTGGGCAGGAATTCCCCCCCCCCCCCCGAAAGAGAGTTTTGAGACTCAGCGAGTTTTCTACTTTCCTGGGTAATACATTTTAAAAACAAAAACTATAATATAAATCGATCTCCAATGATGGGAGGCAGGCAAGCAGGCAGGCAGGGTTAAGGCAGAGATTTCTGGAAGGCTTGTCGCATATCACCCCCCCCCCCCCACCAGTGCCAGATTATCCTGGTAGCAAAAGTAGCTACATATGTAGCTACACAAGTGCCGGATGAAGCTAGTGCGGGGCCTGTAGCAAATGTTATGAAGGGGCCCTAAATAACAAAAAAGCCAACGTAAATATTAAAACACAAATTTGTTTCCTTGCATATTAAAGTAATTGTATTTTTTCATTTGTTATACGGCCAGATAATACGACAAATCGCTAGCCTTAAGCACCCAGTCGTTCGTAAAAGTTGAAGGCAGTATAGTACTATAGTAATAGAGCAAGTGCAGAATCACTGAATCGGAATGTATAGCTTGAACGCATATGTAGATACATATGTAAAGTAGCTACAACATATGTAGTAGCTACTTTTGCTACCAGGATAATCCGGCACTGCGACCGCGTACAGCGAGCGACACCCACGTAGACGACAACAACAACAACGCCGCAGCCGACGCGCGGTGAAGAGGGTTCGAGATTCTACTCTCATTCATGCTCCCATTGTGTTCCGTGTTTGTGTGTGTGTGCGAGTGTTGGGATAGCAGTGTGCGCCTGTCAGTCACCTCAGCCAGTCAGCCCAGAACACGTGGCGCGCCTGTTCCCGTGACCTCCTGCCAGCCAGCGAGCTTTCGACACTTCACGCGGCCTCGAGGTGCACACCTAGCCTGGCACAAGAGCTGTCGTGACGTCATCGACACTTCGTGGCCAATGACTGCGGCGGCTTCTGCTGTTGGTGTAGGGATGGCTCTTTGTGATTGCTCAAATTGCGCATTGAGCATGCGCTGCGTGAGTATCCCAGCTCAACTTTCGTACCATTGCCATGATAGGCCAAAAGATAAAGGCGCAGGCCTGCAATTGCTTGCTCACGCCACCGCTGGCAGAAGAGTCTCCACTAAGAGGGAGCTCTAGAGAACTCTAAAGTATATTTGTTATTAATTATTATAATCACTAGGTGCTTAATTAGTTATTTTGCTGGGTCTGTCTGTCAAGCTCGGCGAGCTGGAAATTACTGCCACGCCCGGCACACCGCGTCCGGCACACCTCTCGCTGTGGCATTTAAATCGACGGGAATCGCTCCACACGCACAGCGTAGAGAGAGTGAGAGGGAGGTGGGTCCACACAACCTTGGTGGAGCGACCGGTCGCTCTCCCGTTTCTCGCCGTCGCTCGAAGCCCGCGACGGCCGCACTCGGTGCTTCTTCGCTCTGCAGGGAAGCGTGCGAGCGAGCGAGCGAGCACGAGAGAGAAAAGAGAATTTCCTGGGCGCATTTCTTACCAGCTCGAATAAATCATCCCGTTGATTGACTTGTGCGGCGCACGTGCGCGACAGGCCGCCTCGCTAAAATCGAACGCTTTCCATTATCATGCAAATTCGTTTCGAGTGGACGCGGCTCTCTCTTTCTCTGTGCACACAAAAGGTGCGCGGAGGACAACGATCTCCCGTGTGGCCTCCGCAGGCTGTCGAGGGGGGCAAGTGCTGTTGGCGAGCAACTTTGGAGGGCGAAACGCGCAGCACACGTGGAAGGATGAGTCAACCCGTGGTGGGGGTGTCTAGGGCGGGGTCAAATAAGTACCGCTGATGTCGGTCGTGAACTTTGGGATACCCGGGTTCGTTAAGCAGCCCCCTAACCGCTGCGCTACCGCTTGCACCCCACTCTCTCACATTCCGGTATATAGAGAAAAAGATCCACCGTATAATCAAAACAGACTGTTGGGGCGAGTGCTGTTAGCGAGCATCCATAATGGTCAGCAACGCTACACGAGGGGGTGGGTGGCCAGCACCATGCACGG